TGAAAATGATAAACAACCCCCTCTGCTGCTTAACTGACCAGATCAATATCCCAGGAGTTTAATTGACTTGATGCTATACTCTGATTAATAAAGTGTTCCTTTAATTTTTTTTGAGTAGTGTATACAGCAGGCCTTGAAATTTCCACTCGCCAATGGCAAGTGGAAATTATGGTGGGGGCGAGTGTGTCCCCCAGGGCCATCTTGCTGAGCAGGCTTGGAGCTCAGGCCGGATCTGTTATTGGCACTGGGAGCCGTCAGACTGCTCAATAGCTGAGCGCAGTGAAAGCAAAGGAAGGAGTGTGTGCTGTGCACTCTGCCTCCCCCTAGAGTGCAGTACTCGGCTCTGTGAGTGAACAACAACGAAGTACTGCAACTTTTTATAGGCCTGTGTGTGTGTGTCTGTGTGTGTGTCACATGATGTCAGCCAGTGGTGGCTTAATGGGAGAGGAGAGAGCACATAACAGCGTGCATGCATGTGTGTGTGTGTACATGTGTGTGTGTTTGTGTGTGTCTGTGTATGCATGTACATGTGTCTGTGTGTATGTGTCAGGAATGGACTCAGCACTGGTGGTGGGACTCACCTGCCGTGTGGGCTGCAGTACCAGGGCTGACCAGCGGGTGGTCTCAGCAGCCAGAAGCTCACTTCTGCAGTCAGCCAACACCTGGGGCTGATTACAGCAGGTGTATTTAAGGAATGACCAGGCCTGTGATCTGTGCCTTGGTGTAAATGTTTCCCATGAGCCCTTGTATCCTGTTCCTGTGTTGCTGTATACTCCGTTGCCGACCTCTGCTTGTTACTGATCCTGCTCTTCTCCTGTTTAACCCCTGGCTTGCCTGACTACTCTTCCGTCTGATCCCTGGTACTGTATTTGCTCGCACCCTGCTGAAACTGGCTTGTGACCTGACCATTCTTAGCTCACTCCTCTTGTACCTCGCTGCCCGCATAATACCGACCCGGCCTGTCTGACCACGCATACTGTACCCGACCTTCCATCCATCCGGCTCGGATCAGAGCAGTGTATCTGTCTGCCTCTTCCAAATTAGATTCCGTTCCTGCACTCCCCTGTCAGTACTCTCTACCACCGCAGGTCGCACTCGGGGGTCGCGACCTGGTTCCAGTCTGCACCAAGTCTATCCCCACCATCAGGGGCCCTGGTGAACAGCAGGCTGGGACTTAGACCCTGCGCCCTGAGGGCGTCCGTGCAGTGGGCTGCTAGAGACTCTGCCAGGCGGCTTAACAGTACCAAACGGCCTGCCTGACCATTCCACCTCTCCAGCCCTGACTACGCCTGTGTTCTTGAAGCCTGCTACTTCCCTGTGTCAGTCCACACATTTCTGGTCACACCCGGATCCCTAACAGTATGTACGTGTGTATCTGTACATGTGTCTGCGTTTACGTATATGTATGTGTGTGTACATGTGTCTGTGTGTGTGTGCATGTACGTGTGTATGTACTGTGACAGTGTGGCGATCTGTCACGATGCGGAAAGGTTATTTCACCCAGGATTCTCAACAAGGCAGGTTGAGGGGCTCCGGGGTACTTGTTTGATACAGAGGAAAGTGGATTTTCACTTTCTTCATTTGTTTGTAAGGTCCATTTTGGGACCTGGAGCCTGGAGATTTCAAAGCGATTTGGGAGGGATGAAATCTCCAATCCTGGGACCAGGTTTTGGGAATGGCCAGGATACTGATTGCTCAGGTGTGCATGGTTCTTTTGTAGAGTCAGGACCAGGGTTCTGGGCTCCACCCCAGCAGACAGGAGTCAGGAGGGCTCCACCCCGGCAGACAGGAGGTCTCTGCCTTGGAGTCAGGAGGGCTTCACCAAGGAGAGGTGGAAGCCAGACTAGCTGTGTGCTAATGGCTAGCTGTTATTATCTGAGAGAGCCAGGAGGCTGAATTTTGTTTCATGTGTTTGTTGGTGGATACCTCTGAGTGGGAAGCTTTATGAAACTTTTTTCTTTAAATAAAAGTGGGCTAAAAAGGCCCTTAAAAAAGAAGCGAGTTGCTGAGTGCTTTAAAAAAACTCTACCATTTGAAGCGAGTTCCCACAGTACATACATGTGTCTGTGTGTACATGTGTATGTATGTACAGTACATGTGTCTGTGTGAGTGTATTTCTGTGTATGTACATGTATCTGTGTGTATGCGTGTCTGTACATGCCTGTGTGTGTGTACATGTGTCTCTGTGCGTGTGTGTACATGTTTCTGTGTGTATATGTGTGTGTGTGTGTATGTACATGTCCGTGTGTGTGTACAGGTGTCTGATTGTGTGTGTTTGTTGGTGGCGAGTAACTCTTAAGGCCTGGCTAGTAGCTCAGGCCTTGAAATTTTAAGCCCTATACAGTATATATATAACTGTGCAAAAAGTTTTAGACAGGTGTGAAAAAATGCTGTAAATTAAGAAAACTTTCAGAAATAGAAGTTTTAAAAGTTTATTTTTATCAATTAACAAAATGAGTAAAAAATACTGAATAGAAGAGAAATCCAAATCAAATCAATATTTGTTGTGACTACTCTTTATCTTCAAAACAGCATAAATTCTTCCAGGAAACTGTGTTCCAGGTTAGTTGCACAACAGTTGGAGGATCTCCCCATCACCCGTAAGCTTGTCTTTAGGCCTCTGATCAAAAGATGGATGCCGCATCACGATCATCCTCAGGGGTCCCTTCAACTGAACTTTGCAGCAATATTTCACTGGAGTTATCCATAACATTAACTATATATACCTGGGTATATGTGCATAATTCCACCAGAACTCCTTTTGGGTCCTTTGTTGATAATACCTGTTTGTACGTTGGATGTATATACTTTTATTAATCTTTACATTTCTAAAGCTTGAATTATGTCCATACTGGTGTGCATCTATTGTATATACTTATGCCATATACTTTTACTACATAATATACAGTTATTGCTATATGCTGGAGACCAGTGGAGAACATGACAATGTCCAACCTCATGTGGCAAGAGTATATAGGCAGTTCTTGGAGGATGAAATAATTGATACCATTGAATGGCCCCCACACTCGCCTGACCTAAATCCAATAGAACACCGCTGGGATTTCATGTTTCGGTCCATCCAACACTGCCAGGTTGCACCTCAGACTGTCCAGGAGCTCAGTGATGCCCTGGTCCAGATCGGGGAGGAAATACCCCAGGATACCATCCGTCATCTCAATTAGGAGCATGCCCGACATTGGCCAAGGCTTTTTAAGATGTTTGGTCCGCCGACCAGCACTTAAGCCAAAGTGCCCGCCGAAGAACTACAGCTGAGACAGACATCTTGGAGAGCAGAGGATCCGCATCCAGGACAGCATCACAAACATATTTGAGGCCCTGTACCAGCTAGTCCACCAGTTCCACATAGATCAGGGGTACCTGCTCATTAACCAAATTGCAGTGTAAGAGTTTAGCCAACTCAAATCTAAATAGGATGCGTAAGGAAAAACTTTAGCGGTGTGGACTGGCTTGTGAGACCCAAAGGGGACAGGCACTTCCTCATTAACCCCAGAAGGAACCTCAATGTTTACGGTGTCCCGCACCACGGTAATAAGCACCACAAGTGCCTTTTCATGTGCGCATTGGCCGTTGAGGACTCCCCTTCACTGTCAGAGAGATCAGGGCCTGCATCATCCGAGCACTCAGGGAAGGCCAGACCTGCAAAGGCAGAACCTAACTCCGGCTCAGAATCCTCCTCTGTGGATGGAGGGGGCGCTTTTTACTGGACGTGCCCAAAATCCACCTCAACCGAAAACAAATGGTTGCAGGACAGCTGACAGAGCGTCCCAGGGAATAGAGGACCCATAGGGAATTGCTGCCACCAGGAGGAGGGTCTGGAGGTGGGGCACCTGCTTCAAATGCCATGGGAGGATCCCATGCTCGACAAGGTACCGCCAGACACAGAACACCCAAGAGGGAGGGAAGTAAACACCCCTAAGCGCCGCCACAGACCAGGGGGGACCCCAGTAGAATTCACCACCACTGACCCAGAGAGCTGTGGAGCAGATCAGTGCGCTGTCCGTCCGCCAAGCGAGGGGAGCTCCACGTGTGGCAAGGAGTGCTAGGCCATTCCAGACCGCCAGGAGATGCCACTCCACCTACCAGGAAGTCCTGCCCACTGGGACTGCAAGAGCCAGCCATCGGGCTACAGGAAAATGTCCACCTCCTGAAGTCTGACCCCACCAACAAAATGTAGCCTGCTTGCGGCTAGGAAGGAATCCGGCCGCTCACTCAACACATGGCAGGCACATTGAGTACCCTGCACCCCTATGGCAGGCAGGAAAACTGGCTGGGAGGGGAGGCCTGGCACCAAAATAGGCAGGGATAGGGTAAGAAAGCCAGGCTGTGGAAGCAAGAGCAACCAAGTGAGCCCAGGGCCCTAAGAGAGGAGGAGACCCCACAGAATTGACCGCCCCAGGGGGTACCAGCGGCCCGCAACATGCACTGTAAGGGGAAGTGGCATGTACTTACTAATCCAGAAGGAAATGCAGGTAACGCACTTGAGACAGATCCGCCTCCCACTGTGGCCTGGTCATATGTGTCCCTGCAAAACATTCAACCCGCTGGCCGACTGGTCCAGAATGGGGCTCGTTGCGGCCGACCCAGCGCTGAGGTAAGGTCTGTGCATGCTCACTGGCCAGTCTGGGGGGACTACAAGGATCAATATTATCCAGCCTGTTGCCCAGCCCAGCAGTTGATTGAAGATCTCCTGCCTTGTCCTACTCCTGAAGGTGGCGATAAAACCCTACAGTCAAGATTATGAAGGCTGTTTCTGTCAATGAACAAAATAGAAATATATATATATATATATATATATATATACACCCAAAAGATGTGGACAACAATAGTACACTATTAACCGCTTCCCGACCTCCCTATAGCACAAATACTGCTACAGGGCAGCACGGGTGTGCAAAATCACATGTATGTATGTATGTGTATGTGTGTATATATATATATATATATATATATATATATATATATATATATATATATATGTGTGATTTTGCATTTCTGGGTAGGGAGCGTGTGCAAGCGCCCTACCCGCACCGTCAATCAGGAGGAGGGCTGCTTTGTTTACTAATAGTCTCCCTCCCTGTCGACTCGGGGACACTGCTCTGGATGGCTGTGCACAGCCATCCAAATCAGTGTGCTTACAGTGAAACACACACCCCCGCCCCCTAGTAAAACATCCCAGCACACAGTTAACCCTTTGATCGCCCCTCATGTTAACCCCTTCCAGCCCAGTGCCATTAGTGCAGTGTCAGTGCTTTTTTTTAGCATTGATCACTGTATTGGTGTCACTGGGGATGTCAGTGACACCAAGTCAGTTCCCCCCAGTGCCAGAATGCCTGCCGCAGTCCCGCTATAAGTCGCTGATTGACGCCATTTTTAGTGAGAAAAAAATATCCAGTATCTATACCGCTATTTGTAAACACTATAACTTTCACGTAAACCAATTAATTTACACATATTGGGATTTTTTTTTAGCAAAGACATGTCGCAGAATACATTTTGGCCTAAATTTATGACGAAATTAGATTTTTTTTTTTTTTTTTTTTTACTGGACATGTTTAAACATAGGGGCACTTGCCTATTAATCCCTTCTTGTCTAGACTTAGCAGCAGCTTTTCAATGAACAGAACATGTGGTTTCAGATGTTCTTGATCTCTCCACTTCTGGATTTCTGAACCCCCCCAAGGAAGAAGTGCATACACACATTGTTAGGGATCCGGGTATGACCAGAAATGTGTGGACTGACACAGGGAAATGCAGACTTCAGGTATGGTGTGAATAAGACAATTTATTAAGACTAAACAAAACATAAACGCAGTGCAAGACTAAACAACAACACAGTGCAAACCAACCAAACCAAACCTCCAACAGATAACAATAGAAACAATACTAAGCGTAGTCGGGCAGGCCGGGTCGGTAGCAAACGGGCAGGCAGGGCACAAGGAGCAGGCTGAAGAGTAGTCAGGAATAGCCGAGGTCAGGACAGGCGGAGTTCATGCAGAGTCAGGGATCGAAGCAGAACCTGGATCAGGCAGAAAGCAGACAGGATGCAGGTACAGGGGCCCATGGGAAACATACACCAAGGCCCTGATCACAGGCCTGGCCATTCCTTAAATACACCTGTTGTAATCAGCTTCAGGTGATGGCTCATTGCAGGAGTGAGCCTCTGTTTGCTAAGAGCACCTGCTGGCCAGCCCTGGTACTGCAGCCCACAAGGCAGGTGAGTCCCACCACCACTGGCAAGTCCATTCCTGACACACATAATGCAGACCTTCACTGCTTCACTGTCAAATACATTAACGCTCCTCTTCACCCCTCCTCTGGTCCTCTGCCCGAGTCATACTCTTGCTCTTTCTTTTTTTTTTTTACTATATCGTCCAGCCCTGCCCTCCCCTCCATACATTATTCACACAGGTGAATGACGTGCACTGTCCTCCCTTTGCCTCCTGGGATTTGCAAGTCACATATACAAGGAGGCAAAGCGTTTAATTCTGTAAAGGAGAAGTGGGTGGGCCTAGTGGAACAGCTCACAGCTTCTTGAAGATGTCACACCTAAACATGGCACTATTGGACCAAGTGCTGCCAGAAGAGGGTCTCAGCTGCACAATCAATCTGCTGGGTGGGTGAATATCTGAACTGTGCAGAACTCACCACCAGGTAAGTAGGAGTTTAAAAAAATGCGGGAAAATCTGCTTTAAAACTGCTTTAAATTTGCAGCTGTTTCTGTGCGAATTTTGCACCGCATTACAATCGCACCCCGTTCATGCGAACCCATGCGGGTGTATATGTTAACTACACCCAAAATCGGTCCGCAAAACGCGGTGCGATGTGCAGAATCTGATTGCATAGGTGTGAATACCCATGTGATCTGATTCTGGTGCAGACCAAAAAAGGGTCCTGCACTATTCTGGTGTGGATGCGGTGCGATCGGAACCATACAAAATATACTCCTCGAATTGCACCGCACAAAAATGTGATTTGCATAGGAATGCAGCTCGAATCACATGCAATGTGCCCTACTACATCAGTGTGAACCCAGGCTGTGTGTATTAAAGGCACAGGTATTTACATTTACAGACAGTAGAGGTTAGCAGATCCCCACACAAGGTTTTATAACAATCATTGTTTTGAGATACAGTTGGTAAACTATGTTTTACAAACTTCTTACTGGTTCTGAGCTATCGAAAGGTTATGCAGGCCATAGACGGGTCCAAAACCGGCCGTCTTAAAAAAAAAACAAAAAACTTCAAATCGGTCGTTCCATAGGCCAACGTTACCACCAACGGTAAAAAAAAACTGGCCGATTTTCGGCCCGTCTATGGCCGGCATTTAATTACGTCTGTCCCTGCAGAGAGCTCCGCTATTAAGAAGGAAGAAAGAAGGAAGAAGGAAGAAAGAAGAATAATTCCAGTCCGCTATTATATTTGACATGAAAAAGTATTGCGGTTGCAACAATGTATCTATTTGTATCCATTTCAGATACAGATGGTTTTATTCGGATACAAATAGATACATTGTTGCAACCGCAATACTTTTTCATGTCAAATATAATAGCGGACTGGAATTCTTCCTTCTTCCTTCCTTCTTCCTTCTTCCTTCTTCTTCCCTCTTCTTCCCCCCAATTAACCCACTAACGGTGCGAAAATCGGCCAATTTGTTTTTTGTGGCCGAAAAAACAACCAATTTTCAACCCATCTATGGCCTGCATTAGTATTGAATATTGACTGCATTCATATCATGTTGCAATAGTACTGGTGATCGAGTATGAAGTACATAGCTTCCCAAATATAGTGTGCCTTCAACCTCTAAAGATGCAAGCCTGTTTTAACCTGGCATGTGGGCTGGCACCCCCATTGCCAGGGAAAATGAACACATGGCCCTTGTTATGCTAATACTATCTAAAATGCTGTTTATGTTCTGAATGCAATGGGCACTATTCCCAGAGCACTGATAGGTACCTGACTGTTTGGCACCCTTAGTACCCAGGAGGAAGAGATGGCTTGGGAAATTTGCAGCCCCTCCCTGGTGATCTAATAAAAGGATCTATTATATGTACATACTAGTGGCTAATAGTTTTATTGACATACACAAACCGAACACAAATGCCAGAATCTCATTAACTAGTGACAGCAGTTATAATTGTTCTTTGCTTGGATAAAAAAAAGAGAAAAAAGGCAGAAGCTGTCTTTTGTTAGAAGTTAGTGCCTGGATGAAAAGTAATGAGAAATAATGGACAACAATCTCTCAGGGCACTTTAATATGATGAGGATCAATAGACAATGATGTGCAGTAATAGGCACTGATCTCTCAGGGTCCTTTTTATTTGTAACCATTTCTTGATGACATTTCTACTATAGAGGATCGATGACAGGTAGAATATGCTCTTTTACCTTGCACAGCAAAATGCAATCCTAAGAAGAAAGTTATTATGGAATGCTATTTAGCAATACATAAGAAATATTAGCAGCCATGTATATATTATGTTCCTATGATTATAAGTAGAAATGAGAAAGAAATTATCCGAGGCATCTCATACAGTATACCTGCCCATTAGTGACATGTGAGCTTCTAAAAAGAGGGAGCTATTTGCAATACAGTTATTACCGTACTGAGACTCAACAATGGAACCAGTGGCTGTTAATATTAGACCTAATTACATTCGGACCAGTAAAACATTAGTGAGAAAAGCTTAGATGAAAGAGTTACCGATATTAAATTATCTATTCCTGCATAGTAAAAAAAGATACAATATTATCAAAATAACTTTTTTTGTGCAGGGTCTTGTTCTATATTCATTGCTAAAGGAACACCAAGTGTATTTTTTGGTCACATAGAGGGTCTATAATCTAGCTGGGATGAGTGGAGGTGTTTCAGTGAACAGATTTTGCCTTTGACACAATTTGCAGTAGCAGAAACTTTCCTTTTTAGTTATTTAAAATTATTTCTCATTTCTGTAGCACCCTCCTAGATAGCTAGAGGGAGCTAGATCCTAATTGTTAGGCAGAGGCTAGTGCAACAGTCAGAGGGAGGTCAAACTGTGGTCAGGGCTGAGAGGCTGTGCAGACAAGCCCCTCTGGAATTTCCCCCTGCTCTAGAACTTTGGAGAAAGGTCTAGAAGCAGTGGGCAGATCTGAGGAGTGGCTGGTTTGTACTCTTAGGGGACCCTGGTCAATGCCCAACAGGAGGCTTGGCAAGGGGCCAGGACCAGGGGCGGACTGACCATTTGGAAACTCAGCACTGCCTGAGGGCCCGGGGTCAGTAGGAGGTCCCATGAGATGCCCCTGGTACCTTTCATAGGCTTTTTTGGGGTGTGGTTTAAGTGTGGGTGAGGACACAGGGGCCCCATGATTCCCTATTGCCCGGGGGCCCCATGAGGTGTCAGTCTGCCCCTGGCCAGGACATTCCTTTAAAAGTAGATGAGTCTGCTCAGCAGCAGGAGAGTTCAAGTGGAAGATAGAGAAAAGGATGTGAGGCTGGAGGCAGGAGCCTCTGAGGGGGCCCAGACTGAGAGGAACTCACATGCAGAGGACCTTGGAAGGCTGAAAACTTGGGTTTTCACTGGCCCCCTGAGAGAGGACCACCTGTGTGGCAGGGAAGGAGTGAGCCTGGTAGCAGTCACCGACCCACCAGCAGCACAGTAGAGGGATCAAGTGAGTAAACCTTCACCCCCCTGGGCCAGTAAGGGGAAAGGAACACTCTAGTGCAGACCTGGATTTGCTATCTTACCTGGGACTATTTAACACTGCATTGGCAGGCACTGGATCCCCTGCCTAGTGATTCACCCAGTACAGCTGGATGAGGAGAGGAGTCACCTGGGGTCTGGGGTGGTACTACAGGAGATGCTGGCTAGCTCTCCAGAAGAGAAACATTGCTGTAAAGACTTTTACGTAGCTGCTGAAGAGTTTGCCCTCAATTGCCATTTCCTTTGGGCATCCTATACACTTCATACGCCATCCGAGTTCTAAACCCCCTAATAAAACTTCAAAATAAAGCTCAAGGATTGGTTACTGTCTCCTAATGCAAGTCTGAGTGAAGGAAATGCGTGTTGCCTGGCTGGTCAGGACTATAGGGGGACCCAGATCCCTTGCAGTTCCTTTGTGCTCTATTGTATCTTATTTTTCAAAAATGTTACACTATATTTTGCTGTTATTTTTGGCAGAAGAAAAGCTCCTAAATAGTTGGAAGCAGCTTCCTCATCTTCAAGCGCCACCCCTAAAAACTAGCAAAAACTACCTAAAAGTGTTATTGAACCCAGGACCCTGCATTCACTAAATCTGCACTCCCACAGTACACACAACATGGAAATGCAATTATTTTAACAAATATAAACTGCTAAATACCTTTTCTCACCAGC